CCAAGACCGCTGGCTTCACGATCGAGTCCCGAGATGGGCGTGACAGAGCGGCATTACCCCGCACTGTCGCCAAAGCTTCAGTCCTTGGTCAGACCCTGCGTTTCTACGGGCCGGAGTGACCCTAGTCCAGGTCTCCAGGCATGCTGTGGTTTTCACAGATGCCTCTGCCAACGGATGGGGGGCCACGTACAACGGGCATGCAGTTTCAGGTCTGTGGACGGGGCCTCAACTGCATTGGCACACCAACTGCCAAGAGTTGCAAGCAGTACGCTTAGCCTTGTCTCGCCTCAAGGGGCTGCTTTTGCACAAGCACGTACTGGTCCGTACGGACAGCACTGCGACCGTTGCGTACATCAACCGTCAGGGTGGTCTACGTTCCCGTCGTATGTCGCGACTCGCCCGCCATCTCCTCCTGTGGAGTCAGAAGCATCTGAGGTCGCTTCGAGCCAATTCACATCCATGGTGTGCTCAACCGTACAGCCGACGAGCTTTCACGGCAGCCACCTCTTCTGGGAGAATGGCGACTCCACCCCCAGGCGGTCCAGCTGATATGGGGTATTTTCGGAGCCGCTCAGATAGATCTGTTTGCCTCTCCGGACACGACCCATTGCCGGTGGTTCTTTTCTCTGACCGAAGGTTCTCTCGGTACGGATGCACTCGCGCACAGCTGGCCCCAGGGCCGCAAGTATGCGTTTCCCCCAGTGAGCCTTCTTGCACAGACTTTGTGCAAGGTCAGGAAGGACGAGGAGCAGGTCCTGCTCGTTGCGCCGTATTGGCCCAACCGGACTTGGTTTGCGGAACTCATGCTCCTCGCGACAGCCCCTCCTTGGCCGATTCCTCTGAGGAAGGACCTCCTTTCCCAGAGACGGGGCACCTTGTGGCACCCGCGTCCAGACCTCTGGAGACTCCATGTCTGGTCCCTGGATGGGACGCGGAGGTTCTAGGTGGCCTACCACAAGGTGTGGTAGACACCATCAATTCCGCTAGAGCCCCCTCTATGAGGCGCCTCTATGCGTTGAAGTGGAACCTGTTCATCGACTGGTGTTCTTCCCACCGGGAAGACCCCCGAACTTGCCCGATCAGAGTCGTGCTTTCCTTCCTGCAACATGGGTTGGAGCGAAGGCTGTCTCCCTCCACCCTCAAAGTGTATGTTGCCACAATAGCCTCTCATCACGATGCAGTAGAAGGTAAGTCATTGGGAAAGCACGACCTGGTCATCAGATTCCTTAAGGGTGCTAGAAGGCTGAATCCACCTCGTAATTTGCATCCCTTACCCTCTTGGGACTTAACTCTAGTGCTTAGGGCACTCCAGAGGCCCCCTTTTGAACCCTTGCCCACGGTCGAGTTAAATATCTTGTCTATGAAGACAGCTCTCCTGTTGGCTTTGGCTTCTTTTAAGAGGGTAGGGGATCTGCAGGCATTTTCGGTCGACGAATCGTGCCTAGAGTTCGGACCGGGCCTTTCTCACGCTGTTTGAGACCCCGGCTCGGATATGTGCCCAAGGTTCCTACCACTCCGTTTGTAGATCAGGTAGTGAACCTGCAAGCGCTGCCCCTGGAGGAGGCAGACCCAGCCCTAGCTTTTCTCTGTCCCGTCCGCGCCCTGCGTTGTTACGTGGACAGAACGCAAAGCTTCAGGACCTCAGATCAGCTCTTTGTTTGTTATGGAGGCCAGCAGAAGGGGAAGGCTGTCTCCAAGCAGAGGTTATCCCACTGGTTAGTGGATGCTATCGTCCGGGCTTATGAGTCCCAGTACGTGCCTTGCCCACCTAGGTTCACGGCACACTCTACTAGGAGTGTTGCCTCCTCCTGGGCTCTGGTGCAAGGCACCTCGCTGACAGACATCTGTAGAGCTGCGGGCTGGGCGACTCCTAACATGTTCGCTAGGTTTTATAGCCTCCGTGTTGAACCTGTTTCCTCCCGTTTACTCGCTACGGCCAGTAGCGCGGGGAATTAGGTTATGTCGGCTTGCTACGCCATTCCCGCCCCGTGGGCCGGATACGTGCGTCTTCTTACTCCGTTGGTTCCCCATCATACGGCTAACCTCGTGAGTTCCTCCATCACCCCTTCGGCACCAGGCGAGGCGGTTCGCCCGGCGCCAGGTCTATTACCTCTCGTAGGAGTTGCTATTAGACTGGGTGGCCTTAACAGTGGTCCCTTCGGCGACCCATTTTCTCCACGTTCCAGCTACCCTCCGGGTTAGCTCCGTGTCTTCCCCTCGACAGACCCATTCTGTCGTCCTTGCTGAGTACGCTCCCACCCCTCGGGCTGGGACTACCTCAAGGACTGCCGTATGTTTCACTACCCCACGGGTTAGTACATACGTGTATTCCAGTGCCTCCCTTCAGGCGGGCAGGGGCTCCGCAGCGTTCCCTCCTACGGGTTGGGCACGCTTCCCCAGTGTTATCCAAATCCACTGAGCGGGTCTTGCGGAACAGCAGTGTGATTTTTCCTAGCTAGCTCCCGCCATATAACGTAAGAAACTGTTCTAGCGGGAAGCTAAGCTGGGCGCTGGAAGGGCCCAGCATCATGGCGTTTTATTAGGGATCCCAATTCGTTGGAAACTCCTCCGACGAGACGTAGGAGTTCCCACGAAAGGGAACGTCTCGGTTACGTCTGTAACCCTCGTTCCCTGAGTCTCCCTAGCGTGATCCCAATTCGTTGGAAACTCCTCCGACGAGACGTCTCCGTTCCCTACTCAGGGAACGAGGGTTACAGACGTAACCGAGATGTTTTCTATGTGAATATATAGTGAAGTGTAATTTATTCCTGTGATCAAAGCTGAATTTACAGCATCATTACTCCAGTCTTCAGTGTCACATGATCCTACAGAAATTATTATAATATGATGCTCAATAAACATTTATGATTATTATCCATGTTGAAAACAGTTTTTTACATTTTTATTTCAGGATTCTATGATGAATAGAAAGTTCAAAAGAACAGCATTTATTTAAAATATAATCTTTTCTAACATTATAAATGTCTTTACTGTAACTTTTGATCAATTTAACTCATCCTTGATGAATAAAAGTATTTTCTAATTTCTTTCCCTCAAAAATAAAAAATAAATTCTTACTGACCCCAAACTTTTGAATGGTAGTGATTAATGTTACAAAAGCTTTCCATTTCAGATCAATTTTGTTCTTTTGAACTTTCTATTCATCAAAGAATCCTGAAATAAAAATGTAAAAAACTGTTTTCAACATGGATAATAATCATAAATGTTTCTTGAGCATCATATTATAATACTTTCTGTAGGATCATGTGACACTGAAGACTGGAGTAATGATGCTGTAAATTCAGCTTTGATCACAGGAATAAATTACACTTCACTATATATTCACATAGGAAATCGCTGTTTTAAATTGTAATAATATTTCACAATATTACTGTTTTTTTTGTATTTTTTATCAAATAATTGCAGCCTTGGTGAGCAGAAGAGACTTCTTTTAAAAACATAAAAAATCTTACCGATCTAAAACTTTTGACCGGTAGTGTATATATAATACCTTGGTGTTCTGTATAAATAAGTTTGGCACAGCTGTTGATTTCAGTAATCGTCGATTGTTTTTTTCAACTGGCTTGAAGTCGTCTGGTGAAAAATGTTCACTGTACAACTTCATTTGTTTGACAAAATTAAGTGGTAAATGAACATCCCGCTGAACAGCCAGCAGCCATAGCTTCAGTCGCTCAAGATCATTTAATGGGAAAGCAGTGAGCAGCTAGTAACAAGAAGTAGTAGAAGAAGAACGTCCTCTTCTCAGTTCTCGCGCATGCGTCGTGGAAATCGCTTGAACTCACGTCTCAGGCCCACAAGGAAGAAAAGGAATAGTCGAATAAAGTCGTTATTTTTGTTTTTTTTCCGCACAAAAAGTATTCTCGACGCTTGATAAACTTATAGTTGAGCCACTGTTGTCACATGGAATATTTAAACATTTTCCTCAATGACTTTCTGGGCCGTCAAGTTTCCATCCCTTAGGAAGCCTATGGAGGAGTGATCAAGCTCTCAAATTTAATAAAAAATATCTTAATTTGTGTTCCGAAGATGAACGAAGGTCTTACGGTGTTGGAACAGCATGAGGGTGAGTAATTAATGACTTAATTTTCATTTTTGGGTGAACTATCCCTTTAAGTATAAGTATATACTAGAATCCGGGTTAGATGGAGCATGAGACACATTAGGCAAGATTCTAGATTTTCTCTTTATGCAGTTACATATTTATGCAGCTGTATAGGGGCTACAGATAAAATACCATATGAAATATTAGCAGGCATGGTACAGCATATTTCATAGTATTAGAACAAAGAACAATAATGAATTGCCATTTCAACCTAAATCTGAGTCAAATAGTAATTTAACTGTGATTAAAGACCTTAAACTGCAATAACACTATAGTGTGAGGCACAATTGAGATGGAAAAGACAGAACGCGCAGGAAACCTTCAGACACACACTGGATACTTTCATTGGGCCAATTGTGTGGCGCTTACACTTCGATCTTCTACTGGTCACACGTCTTCACATGATGCGAATTTGCAGGTCAGAGTTCACCAAACTTGAAAAAGCCGTGTAATAAGTGTCACGACTGTATATCATCCCTTAAATGGTCGTCTTATTTGAGCTTTTTCGTTCTGATAATATAATATTTAAACTCAAATCAATATTTTGTGTCCAATGATTTACTTATGTGGCACATAGATGTATAATAAGCAGAATAATATATATTCAAACGGTTCTCATCACAGAATAAACCTGACAGGGTGATCAGGACTGAAACAGAAGGGTCTTGTATCGCCCTGAATGCACAGCTAGCCACGGTTTATCCATTACATATAAGTATTAGTAATAAAAATTCTTAAAACTTTGGAAACAATCTAATGAAGATTAAAGTCTTTTGGAAACAAAAGATGAAGATTTTTTGTCTAGTTTTTGTTTCTTTTGTTCATTATTGACCATAAGGAATAAATGGAGGATGTTGACACATTTATACAATCTTACCACAGTATCTCCAGTTCACAGTGAGGATCCTTCAGTCCATCAGAGAGCAGCATCACTCCGCTGTTTCCTAGTTTATTTCTATACAGATTCAGTTCTCTCAGGTGTGAGCGGTTTGATCTCAGAGCTGAAGCCAGAGCAACACAACCTTCATCTGTAACACCACAATCCCTCAACCTGTAGAGATTAAAGATACATGTTGAACTGATACCAGCTGCAAACATAGAATAAAAAGTGTAAACTACAAATGTGATTTATAGAGGCAGTAAAACATTCACATAAACATCATTAGGAGGACAAACAACATCAATATATAAAAAAATACACTGTTAAAGACACTGTTGCTGTTTGCTGTCAGTTTTGATCCCTGTCACATTCAATCCTTCATCACGTCTCACACACTGACCTCTACAATCATCAGCTCTCTCTCTCTCTCTCTCTCTCTCTCTCACACACACACACACACACACACACACCTCCTCAGCTGCTTTTGTTCAGAAAGCACCTGCTAAAATCATAAATGTGATCATGTTTTATCAGTGTAATGATTGTTGTCAGTGTGACTTACTGAACTGATCTGGATTCTTTAACCAGAGGCAGCAGCTTCTGAAGAACTTCATCTGCTGTATTTTGTGCTCCAATAAACTTTCTTGGATCGAAAACATCCATCTTCTGCTCGGATGTCAGCAACACATAAACTAGAGCTGACCACTGTGAAGAGGAGAGTTTGGTTCCTCCTATTTCTGCAGATGTCAGATAGCGTTGTATCTCCTGCATCAGTGAATCATCACCCAGTTCATTCAGGCAGTGGAACAGATTGATGGATCTCTCTGGAGAGCGAGTCTCCCTGATCTTCTGTTTGATAAGCTGAACTGTTTTCTCTTTGTTGTAGGAGCAGCTTCCAGTCTGTGTCAGTAGTTCTCGTAAGAGAGTCTGATTGAACTCCAATGAGAGACCCAGAAGAAAACGCAGGAAAAGGTCCAGATGTCCATTCTTACTCTGTAAAGCCTCGTCCACAGCTCTCTGATGCAGCTCAGATAATGAATGAGATTTCATCTGGTTTAAAACCTTAGACAACAGACTTTGTTTGGTTTGTTCAAGTACATATATGTTCTTGTTTGTACAGTAAATGTGTGCATATAGAGCTGCTAGATGTTCCTGGATGCTCAGATGAACAAAGCAGAAGACTTTCCCCTGATACAAGCCCAACTCCTCTCTGAAGATCTGAGTGCACAATCCTGAGTACACTGATGCTTCTGTCACATCAATGCCACACTCGCTCAGGTCTTCCTCATAGAAGATCAGGTTGCCTTTCACAAGCTGCTGGAAAGCCAGTTTCCCCAGTTTGAGGATCATGTCTTTATCTTTCACTTTCTTCTCATAGTCCTTCTCATGTTTGATGTTGGTCTGAATGATCAGGAAGTGTGTGTACATTTGAGTGAGAGTCTTGGGAATCTCTCCTCTCTCTGCTTCACTCCACATCTTCTCTAGAACAGTGGCTGAGATCCAGCAGAACACTGGGATGTGGCACATAATAAAGAGGCTCCTCGAGGACTTCAGGTGTGAGATGATCCTGTCGGCCAGACTCTGATCACTGATTCTCTTCCTGAAGTATTCCTGCTTCTGTGTGTCACTGAAGCCTCGTACCTCTGTCACTCGATGGACACACTCAGAGGGGACGAGATCCGCTGCTGCTGGTCTGGAGGTGATCCAGATGAGAGACGAGGGAAGCAGATTCCCCTCAATGAGGTTCATCAGCAGCTCGTCCACTGAGGCTGATTCAGATATATTACACAGTTTCACTTCACTCTTAAAGTTTAGAGACAGACGACACTCATCCAGACCATCAAAGATGAACAACACTTTATATACATCACTGGATATTTCCATTACTTTTGCTTCAGGAAAAAAGCGATGAAGAAGATCTGAAAGACTGAGTGTTTTGTCCTTCATCAAGTTGATCTCTCTGAATGGAAGTGGAAATATGAGCTGGACGTCCTGATTCTCTGATCCTTCAGCCCAGTCCACAATGAACTTCTGCACAGAGACTGTTTTTCCAATGCCAGCGACTCCCTTTGTCAGGACAGTTCTGATGGGTTTGTCTTGTCCAGGTAAAGGTCTAAAGATGTCACTGCATTTGATCGGTGTGTCCTCTGTTTCTGCTCTCCTGGATTGTGTCTCAATCCGTCTCACCTCATGTTCATTATTGATCTCTCCACTTCCACTCTCTGTGATGTAGAGATCTGTGTAGATCTCATTCAGGAGTGTTGGGTTTCCCTGCTTTGCTGTTCCCTCACACAAACCCTCAAACTTCTGCAGCAGATTTGATTTGAATCTGCTTTGGGCCAGTTGAGAGTCACGACTGAAAGATTAAAATTATAGATTATAACATGAATTAATGATGTAAAAGTGATAGCAAAATGAATAAACACTATCATTTTAAAAGTAATTTATTAGAGATGCACCGATTACAATTTTCAAGGCCGATTTCCGATTTTCCTTGAGTTTGACCTGCCGATACCGATTTTAGCCGATTCCGATTTCCTTTTTTTAAACCACTTTACAGCACACACAAATAATTATTTTCTATCTTCTCTTTAATAGAACATTTTGCATAGAACATTTTTTTAACAGATAATCGCTATAAAATAGAACTATATAAATTACTCCTGGTGTGGGAAATCCACACACATCTAAAGTGCAGTGTTATGGAAGAACCATTTCTTTCTTTTCACATCCAATATCCAACAAAAAAAAAATGATATATTTAGCAAACTAAACTTTTGTATGAAAACAGGTAATGGCAATAAAATAATATATAAATAACAAATAAAAATAAAATAAACATAGCCTACCCTTGCAGTATATATTTCTCAACACACACACAGGCCTATTGCAATCACTTGTACATCAATGGCAAGTTATATTTCTCAAACAGTTTTTCTCTGTGACACATGTCCAGCCAGGCTAAACAGGACAAGTGGAGCATGTGCAAGGAAACGATTGGGAATAAAAACAAGTTATTTTCTATAAATATTTTTGAGTCTTAATTTTCTTTTCTGACATAGCCTGGCTACTTCAGTTCTTGTTAAAACGGTAATTCTGTGCATTTTGGGGTGAAATCATATTTATTTTGTCCATCAAAAGAATGCTTTCACTTTAATTGAGCGCGAGCAGAATAGACTCGGCGCCGAAACCCGCGCTTCACTGTTGTTCACGCAACGCTCCTGCTTGACGCTCACGCGCTGCTCCGGCTCCCGGTGTGAATGCACTCATTGATTAACATGCACGCCGAAGAAAAAAAAAACCCCCGCTGCTCACGCTTGCGGTGTGAAACGGTCGTAATTCACGAGGTTTCCTACATGTGTGTTCCGTGTGCACGTGTGATGCTGATGTTGCGCGATGTTAATCATGCGGCGCCCGAGTGCATTTGACCGGCATAAAATCGGCATATGTCAGACTGACCGGCCGGTCGCCGATCATGGCCGATCACGTGAAAATCGGCCGATTCCAGTCACCAGCCGATCAATCGGTGCATCTCTATAATTTATTTATTTGGCTTCAGTGAAGTGGTCTTACGCATGTGAGTAAACAAATACTCAGGGTTTGAGGGATGAAATAAAATGGCATTTATAACTGTCTGTCTAAAAAAAGAGGAAGAAACGACACATCCAAATTCTGGTGCAGGATCAAAACAAAATTTTTGCAAAAAAAAAAAACAGCAACGTTTTGATGAAAAAAGAAAAACTGACAAAGATTTGTTTGATCGAAATGTTGTAGTTTTATTTTATTTTTTTAAATGAAAATGATTTTAAAAAGATTTTTGATGATTATTATCCGTCTCTCTAAACCAAAATATTGTACCTCAGATCAGTTGATGTGCGTTTTCCCTTAAATGTCACTAATGTGTGCATAGACCGATCACTCTTCATGGACAGCCGGCCTACGCAAGTCGACTTCCGCTACAAGAGTGACACTTGAGGCGATATATGACGGAGGATGTAGGAGTAGCGTAAGCTTTGATGACTCTCAAGGTTCAGACAAATATGGCCGGGCAACAAACTCAAGCTCCTCCCACATTTCTCTTTAAACATTCTCGTTTAGACTTCTGATTCGTGATGGTGTTTTGTTTGGCTCTTTCCTCAGCGCTTCCACGTTTGTCAGTACGTCATGCGTCGGGTCAAGGTTTACTCTTTCACCGTAAATCAATGCGTACAGCCGTCTGTCGGAAGCTACTTATTGTAGTTGATAAAGTTTTAAATATGGATATTTTTCTTACACAAACACATCTTCGCTTCAGAAGGCCTTTATTACACTCCCCCCCCCCCCCCCATCTATCATCTATCTATCATCTATCTATCTATCTATCTATCTATCTATCAATCTATCATCTATCTATCTATCTATCTATCTATCTATCTATCTATCATCTATCTATCTATCTATCTATCTATCATCTATCTATCTATCTATCTATCTATCTATCATCTATCTATCATCTATCTATCTATCATCTATCTATCATCCATCTATCTATCTATCTATCTATCTATCATCTATCTATCATCTATCTATCTATCATCTATCTATCATCCATCTATCTATCTATCTATCTATCTATCTATCTATCTATCTATCTATCTATCTATCATCTATCTATCATCCATCTATCTATCTATCTATCTATCTATCTATCTATCTATCTATCTATCTATCTATCTATCATCTATCTATCTATCATCTATCTATCTATCTATCTATCTATCATCTATCTATCTATCTATCATCTATCTATCTATCTATCTATCTATCTATCTATCATCTATCTATCTATCTATCTATCTATCTATCTATCTATCTATCTATCTATCTATCTATCATCTATCTATCTATCTATCTATCTATCTATCTATCTGTTACGGCTGTACACTTTGTATTGTGGTTTTGCCGTGTCTGGGTGTGTGTTGCTCCTCCTACAGGTGCGCTGCGGAGCTGAGGGAGTAATCAGGTGGATTGGGTGCACCGGTGCACAGGTGTGCCTGTCAATAAAAGCTTCCTGTTTGGCGTCCTCATGGAGCGTTCCATTCTGTCACATCGATCCCTGGCCAGGACCGAGATGTTGATCGGCGTTGCGGCGTATTGCGAGAGCTTGAGAGACAGTCTTTGTCATGAAGAAAGTGTAAAATAAAGAGAGTATTGTAACCGCCGTAAACGTTTCTTCCTCCTTCATTGTTGCTCCCTAGTAAGGGCGTAACAATTGGGGGCTCGTCGAACTAAATTTGTGTTTGGATTCGTGCGAATGATTTAAAAAAAAAAAAAAAGAACGTTGTTTGTGAAGGAGGGTAAAAGGTAGGATAATTTTGAATTGATGTTTGAATATTTGTATATTATCCGACTATTTGTGAATTGAAAAATTGGAACGCTCCATTAATTAGTTAGGTTCTAGAACATAATTTGTTGGGGGTATTTGAAGAACAAACCGTCCGGGTAGGTTTAGTGCGTGTCTTTGGGCACGTAGTTTTTTTTTTAGTTTGTTATTTTTGGTTGGCTCGGGGCTTAGAGCAGTTGTCTCGGGGGCACATCCGAGGTTTGGGGGGCGACTCGGTAATTGGTCGTCTTCCCAAACTTGCGGGATTTAGTGCGTAAATACCCGGTCTTGGGCCAACTGAAGACTAGGGTTGAGCTAGTTTAATTGGATGGTTTAGTTTCTTTAAATAAACCCTGATTTGTCAAAGTAATAAATTTGATATTTATTGAGCGTGATTATTGGTAATTATGGCTACCGATTTGATTGAAACATTTTCTCAGACTCCGTCTGAGGAATTGTTAGAGGAAATGACCAAAGAGCAATTGTTGGAGCTAGCTGCGCATTATAAAATGGAGCTAACGTATAATCAAAAAAGATCAAAGGACGGAATTAAGTTAATCATTGAGACTGCGTTGTGTGATCTTGAAATCTTGAGAAAAAAATCTAAATTACCGGGGTCAGCTGCGGTGCCTGCCGTAAGTACTCCTGTTCCAACTACTCTTCCATTGTCTGCTTTAAGCACACTTTCATTTGAGCAACAGAAAGAGTTGTTGATGATACAACGTGATACTGAGTGTGAGAAGCGTCGCTTGGAATGTGACAAGGTACGTTTGGAGTTGGAGTTGGAGGAGAGCCGGCAACAGGTAGAGCAACAGCGTTTACAGATTGAAAGGCGTCGACTAGAATTACACGAAGAAGGTAAGCCAATGGGAGGTTTTGATAGGGATTCGACGAAACTGAGTGTGGCTCATAATTTACGATTGGTACCGCCGTTTAATGAGGCTGAGGTGGAGATTTTTTTTCTCCTATTTGAGCGAGTCGCAGTAGCGTATAAGTGGAGTGATGTTGAACGCGCTATGTTACTTCAATGCGTTTTAACAGGTAAAGCCCAACAAGCCTATTCTACGCTATCTGATGTTGACAGCCAGAATTATGAAGCCATTAAGGCGGCGGTGTTAAAAATTAATGAGCGTGTGCCAGAGAGTTATCGGCAAAAGTTCCGTACTTTACAACGAAAGGTGAGTGAAACAAATGTTGAGTTCGTAAGAGAGTTGACCGTGCAGTTTGATCGGTGGTGTACAGCGGCAGATAGTACAACAGTGGATAAGCTGAGAGAGTTGATTTTATTTGAACAATACAGAAATACACTTCCCGAGGTGATAGCCACTTATGTGGCGGAGCGTCAGGTTAAAACCGCGTCAGAAGCTGCACTGCTGGTTGATGACTGGGAGCTTATTCATAAGCCCCATGTTAATGAATTCAATCAACATCAGGTTCATACACGGGGAAATTTTTCCGTTGTCCCTGTGGGTGCAGCTAGGCGTTTTTTAAGGAAAAAAAGTTCAAGTGACATTGATAGCTGTAACTATTGTCTGGGTAAAGGACATTGGAAGTCAGATTGTCCAGTGCTTAAATCAAAATTTGTTAGACATGCCCATTCCGCGAAGCCTGCTGTCCTGGCTACTTCAGTTTCTGTAAATCAGGCTGGTACTTTGGAAGGAATACCAGTGGTAGCACCCAAGAATGTAGAGAATCACCAGCAGTTATTTGAACCATTTATTTCTAATGGTTTTGTGTCGCTTCCAGGTGGTGTTGAGAAAGTAGCAGTAAAAATTCTCCGGGACACGGGGTCATCCGAGTCGTTTATTTTGGAGTCGGTGTTGCCCTTTTCAACTGAGTCGCACACTGGTAGCTCGCTTTTGATTCGTGGCATTGGGCTTAATACATTATCCGTACCCCTGCATAAAGTTGATTTAACCTGTGAACTAGTGCATGGAGTAGTTGATCTAGGTATACGCCCTATTCTACCTGTTGATGGCGTTTCACTGATTCTCGGAAATAACTTAGCCGGCGGACGCGTTTGGGTTAATCAATCGCCCTCTCTGGTTGTGACTGAGGCACCGTCCTGTACTGGTGGTCCAGATGACAGTGCGCGACAGTATCCAGAAGTGTTCGTCGCGTGTGCAGTGACTCGTTCTTGTGCTCAACCAAGGGTTGAAGGTAAAATCAGTGACGCTGAAGTCTGTTTCGTTTTGAGTGATTATCCCATTGTGGTTTCCCGGGAGGAGTTGTCTACAGAACAGCAGAATGATGAGACATTAAAATCACAATTTGAACAGGTTGTTGACGGCACCGAAATTCGTGATAGAGCGCAAGGCTATTTTATTGAACAGAATGTTCTATTGAGAAAGTGGTCCCCACATGCTGTTGATGGTATGGGAGATTCTGTCATTCAAGTCGTGATACCAGTAAAGTTTCGTTCGTTAGTGTTGAGAATGGCTCACGATCAGCTCGCCGGTCATGCTGGGGTACAGAAAACGTATGACAGAATTCTGCGTTACTTTTACTGGCCTCGTATTAAAAAGGACGTTGCCAGTTTTATTAAGACCTGTCATACGTGCCAACTTACCGGCAAACCGAACCAGTCGTTAAAACCGGCTCCTCTGCGTCCAATTCCGGCTGTATGTCAACCGTTTGAACACCTTATTATTGATTGCGTCGGTCCCCTTCCTCGTTCGAAAGCTGGAAGTGAGTACCTGTTGACCGTGATGTGTCAAGTTACGCGTTATCCAGCTGCGTACCCGTTGCGCTCGATAACTACAAAATCGATTGTGAAGGCGCTCACTCAGTTTGTGTCTATTTTTGGGTTACCGAAGATTATCCAATCGGACCAAGGAAGTAATTTTACTTCGAAATTGTTTGCGGAGGTGTTGTTCGAGCTGGGTATTAAACACAATTTGTCAACGGCGTATCACGCCCAGAGTCAAGGGGCACTCGAACGATTTCATTCCACGTTAAAATCACTATTGAGAGCAATAGATGAATATCCTGTTCCGAACACTAAAAAGGAGTTAATGAGCTTTCTAGGTCTGGTGGGGTTCTACCGCTGTTTTTGTAGGAATTTTTCTACGGTTGTTGCTCCTTTAACGGACCTATTGAAAGGCAAAGCTTTGTTTGTTTGGTCTGAGTCTTGTCAGAATGCCTTTGAGGCAGTAAAATCGTTGTTAACTACGACACCTGTCCTAATGGCACCTCAGCTGGAGAAAACTTTTAAAATTCAGGTGGATGCCAGTAAAGAGGGAGCAGGGGCGGTGTTGATTCAAGAGGATGATGCGGGTATTGAGCGGCCGGTTTGTTTTTTCTCGCGGAAGTTCAATAGTCATCAAAGGAACTACTCCACAATTGAAAAGGAGGCCCTTGCGTTAATTTTAGCACTCCAACATTTTGAAGTGTATGTAGGTGGGAACAGTTCAGCGGTAATAGTTTATAGTGATCATAATCCGCTTACATTTTTACATTCTCTTAAAAATCCAAATCAACGGCTGATGCGTTGGTGCCTCTTTCTTCAGCCCTTTCATTTAGATGTTAGGCATTTGAAGGGCTCAGAAAATATAGTGGCCGATGCATTGTCTAGGGCACACTTGTAGAACATTTCTTAGGTGGTGCCTTGGATGAAGAGTTAACAGGTTTGTTTTTCTATTTATTACTTTATTCACGGGGGGTAAGGAATGTTGTTGTTATTGTGTATGTATAGGCCTATACTTAAATTATATTTGTTAGTGCGGTTATGAATGCTTATTGTTGGGGAAACATATTAGTTTCTTTTTTTTAAGGGGGGAGTGTTACGGCTGTATACTTTGTATTGTGGTTTTGCCGTGTCTGGGTGTGTGTTGCTCCTCCTACAGGTGCGCTGCGGAGCTGAGGGAGTAATCAGGTGGATTGGGTGCACCGGTGCACAGGTGTGCCTGTCAATAAAAGCTTCCTGTTTGGCGTCCTCATGGAGCGTTCCATTCTGTCACATCGATCCCTGGCCAGGACCGAGATGTTGATCGGCGTTGCGGCGTATTGCGAGAGCTTGAGAGACAGTCTTTGTCATGAAGAAAGTGTAAAATAAAGAGAGTATTGTAACCGCCGTAAACGTTTCTTCCTCCTTCATTGTTGCTCCCTAGTAAGGGCGTAACACTATCTATCTATCTATCATCTATCTATCTATCTATCTATCATCTATCTATCTATCTATCTATCTATCATCTATCTATCTATCTATCTATCATCTATCTATCTATCTATCTATCTATCTATCTATCATCTATCTATCTATCTATCTATCTATCTATCTATCTATCTATCTATCATCTATCTATCTATCTATCTATCTATCATCTATCTATCTATCTATCTATCTATCATCTATCTATATATCTATCTATCTATCATCTATCTATCTATCTATCTATCTATCTATCATCTATCTATCTATCTATCTATCATCTATCTATCATCTATCTATCTATCTATCTATCTATCTATCTATCTATCATCTATCTATCTATCTATCTATCTATCTATCTATCTATCTATCTATCTATCATCTATCTATCTATCTATCTATCTATCTATCATCTATCTATCATCTATCTATCTATCTATTTATCTATCTATCTATCTATCTATCTATCTATCTATCTATCTATCTATCATCTATCTATCATCTATCTATCTATCTATCTATCTATCTATCTATCTATCATCTATCTATCTATCTATCTAGACAGAAATGTTGTACCTCAGATCAGTTGGTGTGTGTTCTACCTCTTCACTCTTCATGGACACACAGCTGGACTCCGGTGAGTTTGATTTCTGCCTGTGTAATTGACTTTAATAGAAATAGTGACAAGAAGAATTAATGTAGTTAACTTGACTATTTTACATTGCACCATGATAGTTATCCATCATCCAAAAGGTTGTACCTCAGATCAGTTGGTGTGTGTTTTCCCTTAAATTCTGGTGGTATTCCCATAGACCAGTCACTCTTCATGGACACACAGCTGGGCTCCGGTGAGTTTGATCTCTGCCTGTGTAATTGACTTTAATAGAAATAGTGACAAGAAGAATTAATGTAGTTAACTTGACTATTTTACATTGCACCATGATAGTTATCCATCATCCAAAAGGTTGTACCTCAGATCAGTTGGTGTGTGTTTTCCCTTAAATTCTGGTGGTATTCCCATAGACCAGTCACTCTTCATGGACACACAGCTGGGCTCCAGTGAGTTTGATTTCTCCAAATGGAATTGACTTTATCAGAATAGGAGACAGAAATTCATTTTCATTTAGCTTATTTTACATGTAGATAAACCTCATATAGAGAATCTATCCAAGTCTATCCAAGAGAATCTTCACAAAAGTTGAAGAGTGAAGACATTGCACAAGGATAAATCCAGCCTTCTATTCCCTTCACGGCACCAGACTAGCTCTCAGAACACCTTCCCAATCACGGCAAACATGCAGAACACACTGTTATGTGACATACACTGTATTATCCATAACATTAAGGTCATATGAAGGTTTAGATGTACCTGAATGCTGGAGAAACATCTCCATCTCTGAATGTTTCTCTGTCCTCCATGATTCATTCAGTCTTCATGGAGCGTCACAGGAACGCCTGAAGAGTCAGAAACACTGATTCACACACACTGATTCACACACACTGATTCACACACACTGATTCACACACACTGATTCACACACACTGACAAGTATTTCACCTTCATATGTCATTTATGAGGACAGAGGGGCAGATTTATGACACAGATGTCCTGTCTGTCTTTGAGAAGTTGACACAAACACAGAAGTTTCATATTCGTAATATGTCTCTCTTTTTCCCCATTATGTCATTTGTAAACACATTGATTAAGTATTACATTAATCTACTGTAACAACACCAGTAATGCTGTTAAAATGTGTTAATCTGATAATGTTTCTGCAACACTGTCAAAATATATTACATAAAATAATGACATGTTGTATTAGTTTAAAAAAATATTAGTAGGCTATATGCAAGACAAAAAAACAGTTCACTTAAAGGGGTGGTTGATTGTGATTTCACTTTTTTCATTTTAAATAGTGTGTAATGTTGCTGTTGGTGCATGAACAGTATCTGCAAAGTTGCTGCGCTGAAAGTTCAACGTAAGCAGAGATATTGTCTTTTAAAAATCAGGAAGTTTAATGCCTACAAAAACGACTCGAATGGGACTACAACGAGATACTTCCCGGGTTTTATATGTAACTAACCCATACATTTACATCAACCCTCCCTCCGGAATACGCAAAAAAGGGGGCATGGCCATATTTCATGAATTCATACACTTATAAACTTTTAAACTCATAAATAGTTCACCATAGCAACCACCCAGAACACCATAGCAACCGCCCAAAATACCTTAGAACACCATAGCAACCACCCAGAACACCCTAGCAACCACCCAAAATACCTTAGAACACCCTAGCAACCACCCAAAATACATTATAACACCCTAGCAACACCATAGCAACCACCCAAAATACCTTAGAACACCCTAGCAACACCATAGCAACCACTTAAAATTCCTTAGAACACCCTAGAAACCACCCAGAACACCCTAGCAACCACCCAAAATACCTTAGAACACCCTAGCAACCACCCAAAATACCTTAGAACACCCTAGCAACACCATAGCAACCACTTAAAATTCCTTAGAACACCCTAGCAACCCCCCAAAATACCTTAGAACACCCTAACACCATAGCAACCGCCTAGCAAACACCTTAGCAACCACCCAGAATACCATAGCAATCACCTAGCAACACTCTAGCAACCACCCAGAACACCCTAGCAACATTCTAGCAACCACCCAAACTACCTTAGAACACCCTAACAACCCCACAAAATACCTTAGAACACCCTAGCAACACCATAGCAACCACCCAAAATACCTTACAACACCCTAGCAACCACCCAGAACACCATAGCAACCACCCAGAACACCCTAGCAACTGCCTAGCAACCACCCAGAACACCCTAGCAACCACCCAAAATACCTTACAACACCCTAGCAACACCATAGCAACCACCCAAAATACCTTAGAATACCCTAGCAACACCATAGCAACCACCCAGAATACCCTAGCAACTGCCTAGCAACCACCCAGAACACCCTAGTGTAGCATATATAATTGCTGTAATTGTATGTAAAAATAATGGACCAGTATCAGAAGATCTTAGTTCAGCTCAAGGAGGAAAAGGTGAAGTTCAATGAACACAGACTCAAGGCTGCAGTGCAATTGTGAATTGTATTACATAAGACAACAAGCATTTACAATATTTACATGTGCACATAGATAGTATTCAGTTCAAGGTTATTAATGAGCATACAACAATTTCAGAATTCATTCGATACTCAGTGCTTGAAGCCGCAGCAGTTCACGACACACAACTCTTAACAGGCAAAGTCCAATGAGTCCATGATGGAACAGTCCATGAGATAAACATGAATGTGTGTAAGTGTAAATGTGTCAGACAGTGTGCAAGTGTAAATCTGTCTGAAGGTGTGTGCAGGTGTGTCTAACGAAGCAGCTACAGCGCCTCCTACCACACCGGCAGATGCATGCACTCCAAAGCATCAGTTTTGGGCCTAGTGGCTCGCCATCCATATACAGAACCTGGCCTGTACAAAACAGGACCAATTAATAATTAACACTGGTTCTAAGCATCACAACTTAAATCACCATAATCATAATACCATAAAGTCATCATATTATCATAATCAATCTCAGTTCATTCACTTCATCATGTACATGATTCAATTTAAATACTGCATATAGCAATATAAATAATTTAACAATCAGCAAGAATACTCTTACAAATAGACAATATTATCAATAATAGCTTCAAAATACATCTCAGAATCAAAGTGGGTGACAACTTCATAATTCAACATCAATATTAAGATTACGATTAATTAATGCATTGTTCATATAAAAATAAGCACAATATAGTCAGATTCATTACAATTTAAACAAATACAGCCCGCGCCAGCACCGTCTAACAGATCCATATACAATACACTATCAGCGCCGTATAATACAAACAATGACACTTACCAGTTCTCGTATCATTAAGTCACTCAAACAGCAGTCAATTGAATGGTAGAGGCATCTAAAAAGTTGGCAGGCACAGTTAAACCGGCAGTCTAATGAAAAAAATGTTTACAGTGCTAAACGCCTACCTGCAGCAGCTCAACACACCGGCTCCCACACACACACACACCAAACAACAGCGCGCGGCCATATTTAAAGGAAAATGACGCAACTGTGTGTCAAGTCTCGCGATACTGTCACGGAGTCTCGCGACAACGCGAACACAGTGCGGAGCCGCGAGAAGTGAAAACAAGGCAGAAAACACCTGGGTTACACTAGCAACTGCCTTTTAATCTCCGGTTGGGGAGATTTAAAGCGGAGGAAAACCGAGGAAAACGGGATTATGGCAGAGTCTTCAAAATTTACTGTCCTCTCGTCTTTGAAACGAAACTTTAATACGTTTAGATGTAATTTTATATATAGTTATGTTTATTTAATATAATAAACAAAGAAGCATAAACAACATGAGGGGTGTCTGTTTTGTCTGTTTTTGTGACTAACGTTTCTTTAGTATAACAATAGAGTATAAAAACCAATATAAATTCTCGGTATAGCATTGGACTCTACGATCGGCGGAAGTAATCCAGCATCCTAACTGTGCGTTCACACCGGACGCGAATAGCACGTCAAATTCGCGTCTACCGCGTCTAGTTTGACGCTTGACCACTTTGTGTTAATTCGCGTGTCAATGGCGAAATTGACGCGCGTAAAAACAAAAGTTTGAAGCGAAATTTACGCGCGTCAGAGGCAAAAGTTTCGAAACCCGTTGGCGGCCATCTTTTTAGATGTTTATCGAGCATTAGCATTATTCGAGAGAGTCACCGCTCGTATATGCTCTGGAGAGCAGAAACAGCTGTGTAGGGGACATCGTCGCTGTACTCGGGTCCACCAGACCCTCCGGAGGGTTTCAGGAGTTTCACAATTTGCTGCAGGAGCTGGGTTTGGTGGACCTAATGGTGAGGACGCTGACGAGGACAGCGTAGGCCGTATAAGCCCTCGGCCTCGAGTGGTCTATGCCTGTCGAGCCCGCGCTCTACAGCCCGGCGCGAGGTTCACCCTCGCCCGCATCCACCTAATCTGTCATTTATTTTTGTTTTGATAATAAATGAAGCCAGCCTCCAAAAGTGATTAATCTGTCCTGTGATTTTTTTCTCTCTCACACACATCACTGTCCAGACACGAACTTATATGTTGGTTGTCTTTACATTATAATAATATTTCATATAATCTAGATATGGAATAAATAGCATTCAATACAAAATGAATATGTCTCATATATTGAAATCAAGTTTTATGTGATAAAATATTTGCTTTGTTGTGCATTAGAACCACAGTCATATATTACAAAATAATGTATTGAAGCATCCAGATACTTCACCACGTGACAGCAGCAAGCAGCTAGGCTCCTGATTGGTTAACGCGGCGCGAATTGACGCAGAAGTTCAGATTTTTCAACTCGGGCGGCAGTTGCGAATTCGCGTCAAACGCGTGAATGCACAAATAGCACTAACTAAATCATTCGCGCGTAACGCGCTTAACGCGCCAGACGCTCAATTCGCGCCATTCGCGCGAACTTGACGCGCGAATGAGGCGTATTCGCGTCTACCGCGCCGCGCTCTACGCCTCATTCGCGCCGCAGGAATTTTTTACGCGCGTAACGCGTCTTTGCATTGACTTAACATTGAAATCACTCGCGCCTGACGCGCTATTCGCGTCCGGTGTGAACGCACCATTAGACCTTCACCGGAAATACCGCCGTGCATAGAGCCCATTGCAACAGAAGCAAACTCAACTGATTTTTTTTTTTTTTTTTTTTTTTTTTTATGACGCAGCGCCTGAAAAAATTTTTTTATTTTTTTTATTAACAAAAATATCAACATACAAACTCTTGTAGGGAAAAGAGAATATACATGGGTATATACAAATGTTGTCAATATACAAAAGTATTAACCAAGCAGAAAACAATAAAAACAAACCAAAAAAGGGGGGAGCTATTTCAAAATACACAAGTCAAAAGCAAAAAAGGCTAAAGAAAATAAAAATACCTTTTGGAGCGGCACACAAGGGGAGATTAATCAAAAAAGTAATTTCCTAGATATGTCTCTACACATTATTCTTGCGATTTTAGTAGATTTTATCTTTTTCAGTGAGGTAAAAAACAATTTAAAATCATTTATAAACCAAACAAAGGAAGGCTTAGAACATCTCCACTTACTGCAATGAATATGATATTTACCCATAAGAATAATCATATTGACTAAATCTGATACTGATGAATCTACATTATCCATATAAAAGAGGATGTGTGGCAAGATGAGAGTAGGGATATTATCAATCTTAAGTGACAGCCAATTATGTAGCTCGGACCAAAAGCTGTTGGACACGGGGCAACAAAAAAAACATGTGTTCCAGAGTCTCATCAGCCATCTCACAAAATACACAAGGGTCTACATCAAATTTAAATCTTTTTCTAA